GATTTATCATTGTTACAGTCAACAGCCTGCCAATCTTGAGCTGGTTAGCCCCTGCAGCTGCATAAGTAGGGAAAAGCCTGCAGTTTGATGTTTGATCCAAGAACTTGGGATTTGCCAGCTTCTATAAGTGTGTGAGCCATTTTCCTAAGAGAAATTTCTCTCTCTAAGCTTTACTGGTTTTGCTTTTCTAGAGAACCAAGCTTAACACGTGGTTTATTAGGGAGGTAACAGGCTACATCAGGATCAACTTGGAAGTAACAGGAACAACTCAGGATCAGTGTCAGGAGGCACACAAGCTTCCAGTGATAGTGTCTGCTCTGCTGGACAGCTGCTTTCTCTGCCATGCAGGTCTCTGCATACAAGGTGCCCTCCCCACTGTTGGGCTTTCTGTTGTCAGCTTCTGTTTCATTAGCCTTTGCCACTAACTGGCCCAGCTCCCAGCACTGTAAGCAGCTTGCTCAGACTTTTCAGCTGCTCTCTGCTGTCGGGCCTTTCTGCAGCTAGCCTCAGTGCTGCTAAATGACCCAGCTTATAGCCAATGCAGTAGCTGCAGGACCAGTAGGCATCCATGGGGCTCTGCTTGGCTCTGTTTCTCTCAGCATCTCTCAAACAGGTGGCCTCTCAAACCTCTGCATTTAGCAGTTTTATATGTCTTAATCCTCATCAGTTACAAGGCAGGACCTCCGTCACCAGACCAGAGTTCAACCAGTTCTCAATTACTCATGAGATGGTAGTCAACTCAGGTCTTAATAATTATCAGAAAAAGTATCAAGTTGTTTATAGCTTACTTAGAAGTGTCAATCAATTGGGGTAATCCCCTGGGCAACAGTAACAAATCCTCTTGGTGGAAAACAACCTGGGAACGCTTCTCACTCCCAAGTGCTTCTCTAAGGAATCAGGGCATGGGTAAGAACTTCTCCAGAATGGAAAAATCTCCCAAGCTACTTTACCATAGTACTAAGGCAAAAGGCCACATAAAAAACTCAGTACACCACAGGTTGCTTCCCCTCAACCTCCGCCAGCCCTTTGGTTGGTCCAGGCTGCTTACGGTTATGTGTTATTCCAGTTGGGCCTTGGCCCTTGATTTCACTTGGATCTGAGCTGCCCCACCCTGCTCTTGACCACAATCGCAGACAGATGATGCTCTCAGCTGGCTGCTTTCCCTCAGTGGTTCACGGAGCTTTGTGCTTAGCCAGCCATGTGGGTACAGGGCAGCCTGGTCTGTGGTAGTATTTGGGGTTTAGACTTCACTGGCTTATGGGTGCCCCTCTGTGCCAGGAACTGGGCTTAAGTATATTGGACCTTACTGTCACCGTTTTACCTGTCAGCTAATTCCCTCCCTGTTACTTGAGCTGCCATCCAGCAGTGTGGCCCAGCTGGCTGCACATCAAGCATCAGGGTGCCATATAGTGTGTGGCCTCAACAGTGACCCCACTGTGCCCTACATCCCTCCCAGTGGTCTGTCAGCTGCTGGACCTGAGCTGGTTTGGCTGGCTGGATCCATCAAAAAACCACCCAGCACTGCTCCCTTCTCTGAAAGTATTGGTGTGTCCCCATGGGGCAGGGGCTCAGCCCCTACCCTTGCCCTACAGGGGACCAAGGAAGGCCACAGCACACAGAATCTGGAGTTTCAGGGGACTTTGGGTTGTTGCAGCTTTGCCACCTGCTGTCAGGGGCTTGAGACCATTTTGCCAGAGCCTGTGACGGGATGGAGCAGAGTTGGGATCACCTGCTTAGGCCCATCATGCCAAAGCCAAGTCTGCAGGAAGACCAACTGAGAGCCTTGGCTTCCTGCCAGGAACGTGATGTATTTGGCTGATATGGTACGTGTGTGTGTGTGTGTATGGCACCTGGAGGCAACACTGGACTGGTGCCCCAAGATTGAAGGGCACTGCCAAGTTGGGCCATCATGCACCAAGCCCTGGTAGGAGGGGGCCTGAGGTGGGCATCAGGGTGTCTACAGGGTCACTGGGGGTTTGTGGTATACAATGTTTATAGCTGCTTGCCCAGGGACTGCCTGCACATGGATCAGCTTGTGGCCACCCTATCCTGTGGTTGACAACTCTCTCACCCTAAACAAAAGGTGCAACCTAAAGGAGAGAAATGATGAGTTTAAAGTACTGGGCTTTTTTTTTTCCAATATAAGTTTCTATCATTCCTAATAATGGTTATTCAACAGCTGGCTTACAAAATTTCTGAATACTTAATAGTTGACTCTCTTGAGCTGGCTCCTTCACTGCCAGATCAGCCTAAGCTCTGATGAGGCAGCAGCAGGGGCACCTCCCCTACCTGATCCTCCAACTCACAGGCCAGAGATGCACTATTTCTCAAAAATACGATGTTTGTGTAGAAAAGCTTTCCTGGAGGCAAATGGGCATTTTGGGATAAACAAAAATATGTGCAATGATTTGTGTACTTTCCTTGAGAGACCAGAGTTCCTTTGAATAGAAAGCAGGCTCCCCACCCCAGGTCTTCCACTGTAGTCTTTCTTCCAAGCTTCTCAGATCTTTGCACAACAGTGATCTTACTAGTCTGTTTTTGGCTGATGCCCCTGATGCCTCCCAGGTGTTCTGTCACATCTTTGGGACAGACACAAACCCTCATCAGTGTGGCTGCTGTTCACCTTCCGTAGAAGGCTCTACACAGCACTAATGAGAGGAGGACACCCAGCCATGGATCAGTGCTGCAATGCCCAGGAGGGTGAGCAGGGCTAGCTGGTTTCCTTCCCTTTGGCCTGGACCTACTAAGCCTTGGCTATCCTCAACTCACCTTCCTGATGAACAGAACCTGGCTAGTTCTTGGAATAAGGGGTGGGGATGGGGGTATGCTTTGGCTTATTCTGTCCTCCAAGCCTTTATCAAACTGAAGCTTCAATACCCCATCCAGTCCCATCAGTCATCTGACTGAGGAGATCCTCTTACCTGCATCTCAATTTTTCAGAAGCTTGAAAGCACAGCTGCCAACCCCTGCCTGGGTGCTTTCTGTCCTTGCCTAGATGGCTGTCTACACAAGCACCTGCTGCCTGGAAGCAGGTCTGTGCCTAAGGGACTCTGCTTATCCTGCAAGCTGGCTGGGTAAGTATGTACATGGGGGGGCATCAAGGGGAGGGTCAGCCTTTAGTCTAGAGGACCACCCTGCTCACTGTTGTGACTGAGGTCATGGGGTGGGGATGGGCTTACAGAACATGTTTAGATGTTCTTGCTTGGGACCTCAGAGCAGCTCCTCTGGGAAGTGGGCTGCACAGGGTCACCTTGTGACCTCAGTTGTAGGACTGATCCTGGGGTTTCTACCCTCAGACTGGTCTAGCCTTTCTGTTGGCCAGGATGAGGCCTGAGGATGACCCTAAGTGTCACTTCCTACTCAGACACCTGGAAAATTCTGTACAGTAAGGCCCTGGGCAGGCCCACTGGGGCTCCTCAGAGCAGCTCCTCTCCACCAGGTGCCCCTGCAGGTTTCAGAGTCCATTCTGGGGATACTACCCATCCTACCCAACCTCAAGGAGAAGGACAGCAGAGCTTTTCAAGACGAGAAAGGTGAAGTGGTGCCTTGGTAGCCCGCGGACCAGCCAAACTCCATCCTCTACGGAGGTTGCCTCTGGTTTCCCGACAGTGTCGAGTCTGTTTTTTTTTTTTTCCCCCCCTCTTTCCATAGCCACAGTATGGGAGAGAGAGGAGTTTGCTCTACAAAATGGAAAAGAAACCGATCTAAGCAAAAGCCTTCTTCACTTAGGGAAACTGCCATGCCAAAGGAATGGGGATCATCTCGGCTTCCAGTCCGCCGATGGGCACAGGCACCCGGAGACTCCGCATGAGTCCCCGGCTTTGCCTCCAACACACCCAGCACCACCTGCTCTTTCAGGCTCGGTGGACGACGGGCGACTCCTAGTGTCCGAGCTGCATGAGGGCGGGGAAGAGGGCCTAGAAACTAGGACCGAGTCCCCATCAGGCATCTGCCCTTCTCACCTCACGAAGGGCTACCCCCTGTGCCCCAGGAATTAAGTCAGATTGGGTCCCACAGGCCTAGCATCAGGATCCAATTCTCTCGCCTCCGCCCAATGCCGGGACAGCACCTCTAGCTACTTCCGTTCGCGACAAAGATGCTACTTCGGTCGCTCGGAAAACGCTACTTCCGTTCCCCCACCCCCACCCCAGGAGAACGCCACATCCGCCTACCTAGGTGTTCGCATCTCTAAAGGACCCTGACCCTCAGGGTTGAAATGCATTGACGGGTTCCGGCCACGCAGGCGCAGACGGCACCACTTGGGATTATGGGAAATGGAAGGGATGAGGCGGAGTTAACAAACTGGAGGTGGGGCTGCGGCAGGGAGGGTGGTTCTTCTTGTCCGAAGCCGTGCTTTCTCATCTAGGCGGAGCCTCATGTGACTCGGCACCGGGCGCCGTAAGAACACCAGGGGGCGCTGGGCGTAGGAACCGCGGGGCCGGTTTGGGGACGGACCGGAAGTGCCTGAGCGGGGTGGCAGAATGGTCGGTGTGAGGCGCGCTGGAGTCGAGCCTGGGAAAGGTCGGCGGGAGGCCTGAGGTCAGGCGAGGCCGCGGCGTGCGGGCTACGAGGACAGCCGAGAAGGCCCCGGCTATAGGCAGTGTGAGCTGGGACCCGGACGGGACCTGTCTCCCAAGGCCATCGCCTTGCAGCAGGGTGCTGCTTCTGCCTACTGGTGCATATTCGCGCCGCCGCCCCACGTTGTGGGCTTGGGTGCCTCAGCGGGGGAAACTGGCTCAGGGTCAGTGAACTGATTGAAGTCACGCAGCTGGGGAGTGATTTGAGTCTGGTCATATGAGGGAGTGAGCTGGGTTGGAGTATCCACATGGTGGGATTGGGTGACCAGGGGTGATGGGATGCCGGAGCCTGGGCAGGACCGTCCTTCCCCATCCTGGCCTGCCTGGGACTGCTGAAGGCACTGCCCAGCCGCTCCTGCCTCACCTCTCAAGGGGTACCTGTGTTTCAGCTCCCCTGAGGACCAGGAGCTGCTGCCACCCACAATGTTATTGATGCGCCTGACATCTCAGCTCGTCAGGGCTGCTCGTCAGGCAGGTAAGATCCTTTTTGGGGCAGATGGGCAGGACACATACTTACATACTTGAGATGAGAACATATGGGGCTCAGTTTCCCAATTCCCACACGGCTGGAGCCAGGAGCCTGGCCACATAAACTCTTTACTCTGCTGCCACCCTTGTTGGGCTCAGGGAAGGCTAACATCCAGGTATCACACAGAGGAGGGAAGTCTGGGCCTCAATGTCAGCAGGGCTTTCAGGGCAGGATTTAGGTGCAGACCACCCAGTGTGCAGTCGGGCCTGATGTTTGAGATCTCAGTGGTGACTGCTGTCTTGTTTTCCACAGGCCGTGGTCTGCCCTGGCCTGTCTCAGGGGTGCCAAGCACCCATGCCTGCAGACCCTGTTATAGCACACAGCCGGTGGGCCCAAGGAGAGCTGTCTCCCTTCCTGGCAGGGGCACACAGCTGGAGGAGTTGCTGGTCCCCCGGAAGATGTCCCTCAGCCCCCTGGAGAGCTGGCTCACTGCTCGATGCCTCCTGCCCAGCCCAGATTCTGGGACCCCAGGGACTGTGGCTCCTACCCAGCTCTATGAGTGCCCACCTAGCCATGTGGGAGAGGGGGCAGAACAGGGGGGTGAGGGGGTTTTGGATACACTCCAGATACAGTGTAAAAATGTGCTAAAGATCCGCCGGCGGAAGATGAACCATCACAAATACCGCAAGCTGGTCAAGAGGACTCGGTTCCTGCGACGGAAGATCCGAGAAGGGCGCCTGAAACGGAAGCAGGTGAGTTGGGGAGTGGGAGCTGCTCGATGGCCCAGGGAGGGCAGATGGCTAAAGATGCCTGGATTGCCACACGCCAGCTAGTGATCTTCCTTCTGCCCTCACAGATGAGATTTGAGAGAGATCTGCAGCGCATCTGGTTCAAGGCGGGCCTGAAGAAAGCCCCAGAGGGCTGGCAGACCCCTAAGATCTACCTGAAGGGCAAATGAGTACCCCTCACACACACCCATACTTATATACTTGAGACCCATTGTTACCGGTGATCTATTGTAATAAAAGTTTAGAGAGCCCACCTATCCATGGGCTGGGCTTATGCCTCTTCTGCCTGTGCTGGGTTATTTTGGGGTGAAGCCTGGTGCCAGCCTCTGGCATTACAGAAAGCTGAAGTCTCAGTGTGGCAGAATGGCAGTCCCTTCTGTTAGCTCACACTTATCTTGGTGGTAGGAGCAGCTGCACCGGCTCCTGCCCATCTTGGCTGTGCTGGAAACAACAGTTATTGCTTGTGAATGTCTGCTGTGCACTGGGCCATTGGGAGTCACACACACAGCAGTACCCATGCCCAGCCCTTCCAGAAGGATGCAGACTCCATGCATGGGGAAGTAAGGACTTAGGGACACCAGGTAGAGGAGGTAGGGCTGGGTTATGTTTTACATGGGTCGGGGGAGGCAGGGAGGGCTTGGTGCCTCCCCACGGATGATGAACTAGCACCTGGAGACTCCATGACCTGGGCCTTGAGTGGCCTTCTAAGCCATCTTGCATCTCTGAGATAGGCTGTGGACACCACAGGGCTAGGCAGGGTGTCAGCAGGGGTGCCAGCCTTCCCAGCTACCTCACCCAGGTCACTTGGCTGCTGTTGGCTCCTTGGCTTCTGCTACTTCCTGGGTTCTGAGTGGGCATGAGGGTGCGGGCTGGCCCTGAAGGGTCTGGTTGGAGAAATTCAGGGTAAGACCTAGCTGAGGAACAGTGTCCATTTAGGGGGGATGGAAAAGCCTTACAGCTGCAGCCTTGATGATTCCTTGTCAAGGGTTTAGGGTCACTGTTCCTTTGGTTAAGAGGACTTCATCACCCTTGACGGCAGAGTCCAGAGGGGCAGGGTGAGGCTGGAGCTGTAGTTGGGAGGCTCCCCATTGTCAGGCCAGGTTATATCCCTACCTCCAGGGCTGTGGGGCTTCACATCTTTTGTCACAGAAACATTTCTGGACCAGGGTTGAGTACTTGCAGGCTAGGCCAGTCTCCACAAGGTTCTCAGTGAGTCTTCCAACAGATGGGTCAACTGTCACCCGGTGCAAGACAGCCACCTTGACTTCCTGCAGCATGTAGGGTGGCCTTTCACTCACATCTCGACTGCACCAGGAGTGGCCAGCAGGGCATCCTGCACAGACCTGTGCCTCCCTGCACAGGTGATAGGCCCAGAGCCACAGGGACAGCCACCCTGCCCAGCCTCACAGGCCCTGTGTTTCCAAATCAGTGATGCACAGCACACTCCCACGAGGGCCATGGTCTTTCAGTGCTGGAATGGGATGAGCTGTTGGCAGCTCCCTGGAGTTTCTGGTTCTAGAGGGGTCCCTGCCCTACTCACTGACCACTGGGGTTCCTTGATACCTAGTGGCAGGGCTCATGGAGGGGCCCTGTGTGGCTGAGAGGATTGGGGTCTGGCCTTGAACTGCAGAGCTAGCCGTCCCTAGGGCCTCGGATACCTGAGGCTATGGTCAAGTGCCCATGTCTCCTGTGGGTGGCCACAAGGTGGCAGCAGTCTAGCTCCTGGCAGCATCCTGGAACTGGTGAGCGCCAGATGGCAGAGCTGTTTTTCTTGGCTCCTTCACCAAAGAGGACCCAGCCAGGCAAGGGGCCCAGGCCCAGATCAAACCTTCCCTGGTGCGGGTACCAGGCATGGCTTCTGCATAGCTACTTCTGCCGATTCTGCCCACATCCAGCCGTTTACCTGCCAAGCAGGACACCCCCGTCTTCAGCTCACCCCACCCTCCCCTCTGAGAAGGAAAGTTAGATGCAAGTTTGTTATCCACCTTAGACATCCAACAAGGACAGTGTAATGGAGGCCTCAGCCTCTGGAAATTTGGCCAGGAGGCTACCTAATGCCGCTGAGAGTGGACAGGCCCCACAGCTCTGGGCACCCCAGGCACCGCTGCAGCTCCTCTGGCCCAGTGCAGGGACCTGCTGGGGGCCTGCAGGCCGGCCATCTGCTCCAGGGCAGTGGTTCTAAACTGGAGCTTGTGGTTGTCACCACAGGAAATGCAACTAGCATCTGGTGAGTAGAGGCCAGGCCAGGGATGCTGCTCACACTTCATTGTGCCCACAACCCCACCAAGTCACCTGCTGTCAACAGTAGCAGTACCTTGACAGACTGCTGTGGGGAGGGGCTGTGTCCTCTCAGGTCACCAGTTCCCCGTAATCCCAGATCCCTCATGTAGCCGACCCATTGCCCCTTGGCCTCTCCTGGTACATGTTAAAAAGGGTCTTGTTCTGGAAAGACTTGGAAGCCTTTGGGCCGTAACTGTAACCTTGGAAGGCATGCTTGGTGCTTTATGATTTTTACCTCTTTGGCCCTGCCTAGGCTTCCCTTCCCTCCTCCCTATGTTCTCTAGCCCATGGAGTCCAGCCAGCCCTTCTCCCATTGTCTTCTCCTTTGCTATTTGCCCCCAAAGGCCCTGGGTGCCTGGGAGTGGAAGCAGGTGGTGGGGGGTCATCAACTGATTCAGGCTTCCCCACACACAGGCAGAGGTCTTCCAGCCAGAGGGAGCTTGACCAGGCCATAACTGGTGGAGTTGGTTCTGGAAACCCTGCTCTTAGGACGAGTAGGGGACAGCACCTGCATTGCTCCTTACCTGGGATGTGGCTTTCAGGGTCTCTGGCATGGGGTGTCACAGCATGGAAGGCCTTGCTACTATGCTCTTGGACCCAGGGGAAGGGCCACACAGATACTGCCTGGCTCAGCTGAGAAACCTCAATTCTGGCTCCTGGTGCTCTGTCCCAGATGTGTAGGCTTGGCTGGCCCTGTGGACAGAGCTAGGTGCTCCCTGTTAATCTGCAGGCTGGAAGTGAGTGAACTCTGCATCCTTGCCCAATTTGGGCCATGCGTAGTGGAAGAACTGGCTCCTGGGGCCAGGATGTGCCCACTGAGCTCCTCTGGAAAGACATCAGGGCCCTAGATCTGTCTAGGAGTAGGGGATCTTAGTTTTGGAAAGGTTCCCTTTGTTCTTGGCTGCCTGAATGGCCCCAGGATGGAGCTGAGGGGTCCCCGGATCAGGGTCTGAAGTTAATGTTTCACATTTATGGTGGGGCCCGGGAGAGGCTTTGCTGGGGCATGTCAGCACTGAAGGTGAGATGTGGGCAGGAGGGGCTGAGTGATGCAAGCACCCTGCTTGCTGCCCAGTGACTCAGGCATTTAGTGCTGGCCTCTAGGGGGCACCCCTAGTACTACTAATAGATGAGTCTTGCAAGCTGGGTCACAGCAGTTAAGTGCACAGCTGAGACAGGAACCCAGGCCAACTGAGCCTGCCATTTGGGGTGTCCTATGGGAGCTCTGGTAGCATAGTGGCTAAAGCACTTGACTGCTAACCAGAAGGCTGGTGGTTCAAACCCACCAGCCACTCCTCGGAAGGAAGGTTGGGCAATCCTACTTCCGTAGTGATACTGCCTCGGAAACCCAAGGAGGGATCGCTATGAGTCGGGGCCGACTCGATGGCACATAACAACAACAACAACAACATGGGAACTGCTAACCAGAAGGCTGGCGGTTCAAACCCACCAGCCACTCAGAAGGAAGGTTGGGCAATCCTACTTCTGTAGTGATACTGCCTCGGAAAACCAAGGAGGGGTCGCTATGAGTCGGGGCCGACTCGACGGCATATAACAACAACAACAACATGGGAACTGGGGTGATGTTGAGTGATCCACATGTGCTTATGAAGATGTTCTCTGCAGGTTGTGTGAGCCTGGGTGCTTGTGTCTATGTATGTATGTGGAGGTATTTGGGGACTACTTTTGAATGAATAGGAGCTCTGGTGGGGTAGCGCCTAAGGCATTTGACTGCTAACTAGAAGGCTGACAGTTCAAACTCACCAGCCACTCCTTGCAAGGAAGGTTGGGCAATCTCCTTCCGTAGTGATACTGCCTCAGAAACCCAAGGAGGAGTCGTTATGAGTCGGATACGACTCCACGGCAGTAAGTTTGGTTTTGTTTTATTTGGGTTTTGAATGAGTGGGAAAATGCTGCAAGGCCCAGGTGACCAGTGGAGTAGGGACAGGGCATCCAAACAGCTGCTTTCGGTAGCAGGCAGCCCCAGGGTTACATGGCTGCTTCTTGAGCTGCGCCAGCGCAGGTTGATAGGTGCTCCTGAGTACATTGGCCTAGATGGCAGAACACGGGAGGCGAGGCCCTAAGTGACTACAGAGCAGGTAGGTGCATAAGCATTTGCCAGCTCCCTGGGACCTCCAGGAATGCTGGTCCCTACGTGGCAGGAGGGATGAGGTCCAGGTAGAGCTGGACACTGGAGTAGTGGTCATCTGAGCACTGAAAGACCATGGCCCTCATGGAAGTGTGCTGCACATCACTAATTTGGAAACACAGGGCCTGCGAGGCTGGGCAGGGTGGCTGTCCCTGTGGCTCTGGGCTTGCCACCTGTGCAGGGAGGCACAGGTCTGTGCAGGATGCCCTGCTGGCCACTCCTGGTGCAGTTGAGATGTGAGTGAAAGGCCACCCTACATGCTGCAGGAAGTCAAGGTAGCTGCCTTGCATAGGGTGAGAGTTGACCCATTTGCCCAGGATGTTCCAGGGTCAGCACGGACATCCTTCACCCTGGCACACAAGTTTGTGTCCCTTCTGAGGTGTCCTGGGTGCTGCTTACATAGTACCTTCAGCTCGGCATGCTAGATGCTTGGAGCAGTTTCCTGAATGTTGGAGCTTGCTTTTAAGGCACCAAAAAATGTTATCGCTACAGCCTCTGGAGGTCAGCTCCCAGAAGCCTCTGGGTGAGTCCCATAGCACCCTCTCCCCTCTACAACCCTGTCCTCACCCTGGATGCCCAGATAGGTGGGATCCAGGTTGCCGCACCCAGCCCAGCCCTCGCCCGTGCCTGGCCCACCCAGGTCCCTGCAGGTGAGGTGGCTTAAGAGTTCTGCTGAGAGAGGGCCCGAGTCTTCTCCCCATCTGTGGTCTCGGCCATGTCCCCATGGGAGGGCACTTGGGTCCA